TGTGACGTGGTGATGATACAAAAACAAGAAGTGAAACAGTGACACCAAGAGTGAAAAACTAAAGAATGAAGAAAATGTAACTGCATTGACCATGCAGCTTAGATTGATAATTATGGCTAACTCATAATGTTCGTGGACGATATGAATGCAACTTGGATTACAAAGGAAATGTTAGAGATGCAATTCTAAGTCTAATCTTCCAGGATTTACAAAGTTGTCATAACTAGCTCTAGGATCCGGGAAAGCTTTAGCAAACTCTAGTTTGTCTAAAAGCTCGTCAACAAAGAAAGAAGAAATAAAAAGTTTCCTCTGACTGGAAGCCATGAAGTTCTGCCTCACCGCATCGTCTAGAAATTTGAGTAGGTTATTGAAATAACCGTCAATGTTCAAGAGACCAATGGGTCTATTGTGTAACCCTTCAGAAGCCCATGAGATCAAGGTGAACAAACCTTCCATAGTGTCAACTCCTCCGGGAAGAATGATGAAAGCTTCCACGGCATGATTCATCTCAAAATATTTGTAGTAATTGCTGGAAACTGTGTGCTCTACGCCGTATGTAGGTCCGTAGACCCGTCGTGTTGCTATGTACCCAGGAATGAAACCTCTAACGAGACCAGACTGTTGAAGCAACAGCTCCTTGTAGGCCAACGTTGCCCCCTCCATAAGCAAGACTAGTTCTTCGCCTTATCAATTCTCTTCCTAAATCTACTGCAGTAGCCATAAACTTTGGATTTCTACCAAGAGAATGACTGCCAAGAAGACCAACGAATCTTATGGTGTAAGGAAGTGTTCGAGAAGTTCCTTCCATAATGTGAGAATGTGAGATACTCTTCCCATATTCATGATATATATATAGTCTCTGGAACCTAACCATTGATGGAAAAGTAATTATCACCAGCCAAAATACGTACAGAAAAATGAATTCGCTTCAACTATCTACAGACAAAAGTGTACTCATCAATATTGTAGTCTACTGACAATGTGACATATTGAGACCAATGAATAGTTAGATTTGCTGTCTTGAAATACGATCAAATCCGAGACGAAAAGTCAAAACGACTATTTCCTAGTACAATGACTCCTTGAGTAACTTCTGAAGAGTGAAACATTGAATAAAGAAAATCTACGATTGGCAACGATAAGTCGCAAACACTTATCTTTGTATCTTGTGACTCACATCCTTGAATGACTCAACTTGTTGTATTAACTACACCCTTGAAATACCTCGCTTGATCAATCTTGAAAAGATTGAATTCCATTCTTTGAAAACCAAAGATGTTCATGATACTGATCTTTGAAAACTATACCCTGTGGAATATGTGGCTCGATCACAATAGTAAAACTACCCTGACTTGAAGTAAAACTCCTCTGTCCTCCGTAACCTTCCCGGAGCTGTATCCCAAGGCGCCGTTTGCCTTGACGGCAGCCCGCCGGCTTACGAATGGGACGCCGGGAAAGGCCGAGCTGGGGCGACGAACTGGGTCGTTTTCCTCCAAGGTGCCGGCTGGTGTGTGAACTCCACCAGGCATCAAATTCCCGATGGTACCGTTCAGAGCTGTGCCAACCGGTCGAAAACCCATCTCGGTTCTTCACACCACATGGAGCCCTACAATTTCTCGCAGCTTCATGTTCTTTCTCCTGACCCCCAGGATTCTTATTTTCACGATTGGAATCGTGTGGTGGTGAGGTCCTGTGACGGGGGGTCGTTCTCCGGCAATGTCGAGAAGCCTGACCCCGCCACGGGCCTGTACTATCGGGGGGTGAGGATTTTCCGGGCTGTCGTCGAGGAGCTGATGACAAAAGGGCTCGGAAGTGCCCGTAACGTCCTCCTCGCCGGGGGTTCGTCCGGCGGTCTCGGCGTCATGGTGCACTGCGACCGCTTCCGGTGCCTTTTCCCGGAGAGTGTGAGAGTGAAGTGTCTCGCCGACAGCTCGCTCTTCCTCCGTGTCCGAGACCCCCGGCGTGTGGTGTTCCTTGATGACGTCTTCGGCGATGTCGTGAGCTTGCACTGTCCGGACAACGCGTTGCCCAGACGGTGCACGGAGAAAATGGGGGCAGGGGCGTGTTTCTTCCCCCGAAACCTGGTGCGGTACATCGAATCGCCGTTTTTCCTTTTGAACTCGGCATTCGATTCGTTCCAAGTCACAAACACGTTCTCCCAGCCCTTGCACGACCGCGTCTTGCACCACAGGGTTGGCCGAGGGGACTTGGCTCTCCTCCGAGACTTTCGGGGGCAAACAACCAGAGCCCTGCCCCGACCAAGCCGCACGAAGGGGTATCTAATCACATCCCTCTTCATGCACAGTCTTGGTACGGTACAGGGCTACAAAGGGCCAATGTTTCCGGGACGAAAGTCCAAGTCTGTTGAGAGTGCATTAGTCGATTGGTTTTTCGATCGAGCGACTAATGTTCGCCTCATAGACCCCTCCAAACAGCCCTTCTATGAGCCTCCCCGTGTAGTCAAGGACTAAGGAGAAGACATCAACTTCAATAAATAAGTTTAGTTGATGTAATTAATGTATCATTATCTATATGTCATTAACTATTTAATGAATATTGTTGAACTTCTGTCTTCTCAATCTCCTCTTCATTAATTATTGTAATTTCTTATTGTTCCCAAGCACGCAATATATTTTTTAGAACTGAGCCAATGTATCGTTCGAGCCAAAAGTTAAGCTAGAAATTAAATTTGACCAGCTCATCAAGACATAGAATATAATAAAACATGTTAATTAATTTATACGACTAAATTATGAGGAACCAAGCATTATTGTTGTTGTTTTTTAAACTAAATGATATTAATTGGCATGCAAACAATATTACAGAATGCTCTTCCAAAGTAATTAACCGTTTTTTTTAAACTAAATACTCTTCCCAAGTACAGTTCTAATTTAAGCTTTTTAAAAATATAGTACGGAGTATTTATTATTTTCACCAAACAATATCACAGAAATAGTCCAAGTAAAAGTTGGATGGTAAAAATTGAAAGTATTCACCATTGCTAAATTTAGTTTATGACTAAAAGAGGTCCCTTATAGGTCCCTTATTTCACCAGTGCATTATTCAAGACAGGACTTGACCGGTCCTTTTCGGTCCTTCAACATTCTTTTTTCGGGTGCTGTCTGGTCCGTCGGTTTTTAGATTTGGGCAAATGGACTGGTTAATTTTTTTCTTAAATAAAATACTCGATATTTTTATTCGAACGGTTCCTATGACATGCAAGCAATATCATGTGATGACTCGAGAGTGCTCTGTTGTCCCGTTCGTAAGATTGACGATTTTTATCCCCTAACTTCACCGGTAAATCCTTCACCCCACCCAAATACACCCCTCCACCCCCTTCAATTACACCTCACAAGTTAATTTGACTTTAGAGTCAAAACTTGATTCCAAAGTCAAAATTAACTTGTGGGGTGTAATTGAAGGGGATGAGGGAGTGTTCGAATCGGGGCGGGATATAGGGGTGGGTTCGATTTTGGCGGTTCGGTTTTCACCCAAAACCAAAGACAAAATGGAGGGTAAATTAGTGGTTCGGTTCGGTTTTGCATAAAAAATATGTAAACCGTTGGTTATTCGGTTTGGTTTTGTACGGTTTTTATTTCTGTTTTTTTCGGTTTATAAATGTAGAAATTTATAAGCATTAAAAAATTATAAAAACACTAACTCGAAGAAACAATAACAATATGTAGTGTTGGCTTTGGTTTTTGTTTGATTTTTACACAAACAAAAAACCAAACGGAAGGTTATTGTTCCTTGCGGTTCAATTTTACATAAAAAAATATGTATTGAGTGTCCAACAAACATTTAGAAAATTCCAAATACTTCCAAAGACATCGTATGTAAAATCATTTACGAAGAATTTATATTTTTGGTATAATACTTTCATTTTCATTATAACATCAAAGTATTTTTTATGTAAATATGTAAATTACTCTTATCAATTTTTAATGTTAATATAATTCTATATTAGGATTAGCTATTGGTGTTCATATTCTTAGGTTTTTTTAAAGTTTATAATAATATGGCTAGAATGTTTAATTAATAGTTAAGAAAATAATTTTAATCGACTAGTAATTTATTTGCATTTATATTTCTATGATTTTTCTATATATAACATATATTCATATAAATAAAACGAAGTATCTAAGAAAGTTCGGTTTATTCGGTTCGGTTTTTCAAAGTGAAAACCAAAACGGAACCAAACACTAACGGTTCGGTTCCGTTTTTTTACATTTGGTTTCGGTTTTTTCGGTTCGGTTTTTTTTCTAGCTCGTTTCGATCGATTTCGGTTCGGTTTGCGGTTTTCGGTTTTCCCAACCCAGCCCTAGCGGGATATGGGAGTTACCAGGGGAGTTAGAGGGATATGAACTATCAATTTTACAAACGGGGCATTAAAGCACCCTCGGGTAATCCAATGTCAGGGACCCCACCGTATTTTTATACTATATTATGTATACTAATTCAATTGTGAAATAATGCAACGTTGAAAAAGGTGCAGTATAAAAATGGTTGGTACGAGAGTTCAAGACTTTAGGCCTTCAACAACATTTGGTCTAGTAAATACTACGTATTTATTTTATGAAGGTTTTTTTTTTGAAATTTTTTCAAGTTCGGTTTGGTACATGAAATTCGAATAATAGAATTATAATTAGGAACCTCATCTCAATTCCATCTTGTTGTTTGCTAGGACAGAAATATATGGTTTTGAAATTGTTAGTGCAAAAAAATGAATTGGAATTGGAGAATTCAATTTCATAAAATTTTGATTTCAATTCAAATTCGATTTTGTAAATTTTCTGTACTAAACGGACAAAAGGGAGACCTTAGACACTTAGTTACATTAATATTTGAAATTATATTTATTTAGCTCAGTAAAGTTACCATAATACTCAATATCTAGAGATTTTAATTAATCATTGGTAAAACGTACAAAAAAACTATAGTTCAAGGGCAAAAAGGGTCCCCTACATCACATGGACAATTGATATTTCCACAATTGGTTTTTGTTATATCTTCACAAAATATGTAACACGCTTCTCTTAGAATCATTGGATCATCGACACCACCAAATCGTGCTGCATTGACCTCGTAACATAATCCGTAACATTTGCAGTAAAGTTTTGTGTCGCATTCACTTGCTACTCCTCGTAACAATATTAGTTTGAGAACTAACATTTTGATCAATAACCTCATTATGGTCTCATTGTGAGAAGTCATAATTTGTTTGTTGATGAATGAAAGTCTCTTTTACTTCAAAAATAATAATAATAATAATAATAATAATAATAACAATAATAATAATAATAATAATAATAATAATAATAATAATAATGTATAGGACTAGCATGACCGTGCTTGTGTGCCTTTTAATCATATCCAACAGAAATCCTTTTAATAAATTGACCACTCTTTGTTTTTAGGAAAAGAAGTGAGGCGATTAAAATTGTGTTAAATTTGGTCTCTATTAAAAACCATTTTTACCTTTTATTTTTTCATATTCTACCTATAACATCATACCTTTTTACTAATGATCTATCAATCACATCCTACTTTTACTCATAACATCAAGAGTATTTTTGAAAAATCAACACGAAAATATCTCTCTCTTAATTTTCTAAAAAGTACGGAGTAATAAGGAAACTAAGAGAAGGAGAAAGCTTTAAATTTTTCCGCAAGCGTGAATTAAAAAGGTGAATTTGGGCCTTACATTCATTGGAGATTTGTACGTAAGTGGCCGCATTAATCCACATGTAAATCCGCCACCCGTCATATGGTACTTTCTCCTCCTTCCAAGTTGAAATTTTCATTGTGCTAAAGCCTTGATTGATTTCACTGTTAATTGAATTTAGTTGATTGTAATTAAATTTAAAAACATAAAATTTATATATTTAAAAAATTAGATAAAATTTTTTGCCCCCTGAAGTCCCGGACGAGAGCCATGTCACTCCGGGTAACTGTGTAATTGTTGAATTGACCGTGCAAGGCCTCCGAGAACGTGTTCCTCACTTGGAACGAATCGAACGACGCTGAGTTCAAAATAAAAATCGACGATTTGATGTACCGCACAAAATTTCGTGGGAAGAAACACGCCCTCGCCCACATTTTTTGGGTGCACCAAATAGAGTACTTTTATCCCTAATAATTCTTATCCTATCGAATACAGAGTATATCATATCTATTCAGTATTAATCTACCCACTACATCATACTTTTACCCATCATATCAAAGGATATTTTTGAAAGTTAATGCCAACATAAATAATTAAATATACTCTATTTAAATCATTTAAAAGTCAATACAAGAAACATTTTTAAGGACAGAAAAAGTATATAAAAGATTCTTCAAAATACAAGGTGACAAGGAAAATTTACTCTTTACATAATTAAATAATTGATGAAAATATACAAATAAACAAAAATTCTAAAGGTAGTGTTTGAGAATTAATAATTCAATTCAAGTCATGTATTTCAATTCCAAAATTTAAAATTCTAAATTTCAAATGACAAGGGGAGGTGCATGAATTTCTGATTAAGCTTTGTTTTGAATGAAAAACAACTTGACTCAAATCCAAAATTAAAAATTTTTAAATTTTCCAAACATAAAGTTTGAGCCAAATCCAAATTTAAAACCCAAATATATGTTCCTAAACACACCATAAAATTATTTAACAGTGAACTTTGGCATCTTTTTTTGAACAATGGAATTTTTTATTTATTTATCCAACATACACTGAAATTGAAACCAATCGAGACAAAAAGTCACACAAAGCAAATAAGAAAGAAAGAAAAATGGAGTAACCGTTGGGTGGACAATAATGAAAGAATTGAAAGAGGAAAAAGTTGATCCAGCAAGATGGAGAATTTAATGCATTGACAGGGCAAGTAATTACCTCTTTGCTAAATGTGACTATTTTTTCCCTTGTCAACTTTATCTGCTGCCTCCCCGTGTCCCTTTCTATTTTGGGCTAAGTCATTAAAGTCTAAGTTGGGTAAAAGAAAGAAATGGTTGGGCTAAGTTATTAAAATGTAAATTGGGTAAAAGAAAGAAGGAAAAATTGATATAAATATTCCTAGAAATTTGAAAGTTTACAATAATACTCTCAAATTTAATAAAAGACTCTGGTGCTTCCAATTAAACTATAAGTTTACATTACTACTTCCATTATGTCTAATCAGCTTTTCTTATGCTTACATGTAAGTAATTATGTTTAGTTGACATCTTAGTTGTTTTTTTTGTTTTAATAAGAGCAAAAAATTATACAAATACTCATAGAAATTCAAAATTTTACAATAATTCTCCCAAAATCAAATAAAGACTCCAGTTCTCCCAAAAGTATATTCTCGTTGCACGTTACTATATTTGAGTAAAATTATTTTTAAAGTATTTTATATAAAAAATGGTGTGAAATTAAAAAATAAAAATTACATATTAAAAAACTAATATAGTACGGAGTAATATGTAAAAATATTTTTTAGTAATATTAAAGATTAATTAATTGAGCTTAATTGGCATCTTAGTTAGTTTTTTATATTTTGATAAAAAATACCCCCTCCGTCCAAAAATTATCTTCTCATTCACTATTAAGAGTATTAACAAGATCAAATTTTATTTACTTTGCTTACCTATTTTAATTATGTATTTGATAAAATAATATAATTATATCATTACTAGTTTTATAGATCTTATAATGTAGTTTTTAGATATATAATTTTATTTTTTGATTTCACACCACTTTTATTAAACATCGTAACACGTAAATGGAAGATATTTTTTAGAGTACTGGAGTCTTTATTTGGTTTTGAGAGTATTATTGTAAAATTTTGAATTTCAGGGGAGTATTTATATAATTTTTTCTTCTTATTAAAACAAAAAAAAACAACTAAGATATCAACTAAACTTAATTACTTACATGTACTTACATGTAAGCATAAGAAAAGTTGATTAGGCATAGTGGGAGTAGTAATGTAAACTTATAGTTTAATTGGGAGCACTAGAGTCTTTTATTAAATTTGGGAGTATTATTGTAAAATTTCAAATTTCTGGGAGTATTTATATCAATTTTTCCAAGAAAGAAATGGTAATTCTTACATAGTATTTGTCCAATTTCAATTTTTTTCAATCGGTCAGTTTTTAATTTCTATTTATAATTACATAAAATATATATTATATATTTATTAGATAAAATAATATTTTAAATATATTTAATATAATAAATCTAATAAAACTATTTTGTATCAATATATAATATCTTAGAGTATCATTTTTATTTAATTTAGGGTCAAATTTTATTAATTTTGATAGAAAAAAGTCATAAGTATAACTCGACAACTATTTTAAAAGGAAGAGTAATGAATTGACTGTAGAAGAAAATCAAGATATCTTTTTTTTAGGTCAAACTTTTTCCATATGCCCCATTACCAATAAAATATAGGAGTAAATTTATACAGACTTCAATTAAACAACGAGTAATTTTTTTAAGAAAAAATTAATGGTCATTGTTTGAATTTTAACTATTGATTAGAATGGAGGACTATTAGGAGAGTACCAGTGAATCCCATGAGAGAGATTTGATATAGAGCCCCATGACAGTGTTCCGGAACAAAAACTTAATCAGACAATAATTAAGGAATGAGGAGATTAATTAAGAACACAATAGCTAAATAATATTCATTAATAAGTAGTTAAGGACACATTGCTAATTACACATTATTCACATCAACTAATTAAATTCATTTATTTAAGTTGACGTCACCTCCTCAACTCCACGGGGCGATAAATAAAAGGGCTGTTTCGCGGGGTCTATGAGATGGACATTGGTCGCTCGATCGAAAAACCAATCGACCAACGCACTCTCAAAAGACATGGACTTTCTCCCCGGAAACATTGGCCCTTTGTAGCCCTGCGCTGTTCCGAGACTATGCATGAAGAGGGATGTGAGTAGATACCCCTTCGTGCTACTTGGTCGAGGCAGTGCTCCGATTGTTTGGGCCCGAAAGTCTCGGAGGAGTGCCATGTCGCTCCGGCTAACGTTGTGGTGCATGACATTCTCATGCAAGGCCTTGGAGAACGTGTTCGTCACCTGGAACGAATCGAACTCCGAGTTCAAAATGAACAACGGCGATTCAATATACCGCACCAGGTTCCGCGGGAAGATACACGCTTCCACGCCTATCCTCGAAGTGCACCGTCCGGGCAACGCATTGTCCGGACGGTGCACACCCACAACGTTTCCGAAGACGTCGTTGAAGAACCTCGCCCGACGGGGGTCTCCGACGTGGAGGAAGAGGGAACTATCAGTGTAACACTTCTTCACCCTGACATTCCTCGAGAATAGGCGCCGAAACCTGTCACAGTGCACCATGACCCCGAGCCCGCCGGAAGAACCCCCGGCGAGGAGGACATTCCGGGCATTTTTCAACTCCTTCGCCATCAGGTCCTCCACGACAGCGCGGAATACCCTCGCGCCACGGTAGTGAAGACCCGTGACGGGATCGGGCATGTCGGCGTCACCAGAAAAGGATCCCCCGTCACATGATCTCACCACCACCCGGTTCCAATCATAGAAAAAACTATCATTGGACCGGGGAGAAAGAATGGGGTGGCTGGAGAACTCAAAAGGCTTCATGCGGCTGGAAGAACCAAGGTGGGTCTTCGCCCGTTCTGCACAGCTTTGGACGGCGCCATCGGGAGTGCGATGGGCGGAGGTGTTCAGGCACCAGCCGGAGCCTTGGAGGTAAACCAGCCAGTTGCTCGCCCCATGGCGGCCTTTCCCGGCTTCCCATTCATAGGCGGGCGGGCTGCCGTCAAGGCAAACGGCGCCTTGGAATACATCGGGAAGGAGGTGAAGCTCGCAGGAGACATTGGTGGTTTGTTGGAGGAGGAACAACAGCACAACAGAAACAACTATGGTTGTCGGGAGTGGTGGAGAGAAAGACGGTTTGTTGGTTGATGTGAGAAGGGAAGCCATAACACTTTGATAGAGATAATAGAAAGATTTGGAAGATTTTAGACCTGTGCAAACAAGGGTCGGCCCGTTCGGCCCGCCCAACTCGCCCTTTAAAAAGGACGGATATGGACAACCTTTAGTACCCAAATGGGCGGGCCTGCCCAAATCCGAATTGTATATGGGCGGATATGGAAGTTACTTTTAGCCCATTTGGGCCAACAGGCCCGCCCATATTCATCAAATATATTTACTTTATTATTAATTACCTAGCCAATATAAATTTTAAAATTTTCTATAATTCATGTATAATAGTTTAATTCACTCATCTCTTTTAAATAAAAATTTATACTCTTTTAATGAATCAGTATGATGAATTTATTAATTATGCAACAATATCTCTATTATGCTTTCTATATAAATGTGGTGACTGGTTATTATATTTTAAATATTAAAATATACTCCGTAGTTCAATGTTTTTTTTTAAATTTTTTGTACAAAAAAAATTTCTTGATGTTTTATCCGGGCCGGGCCGCCCAGTGGGCAGTTCGGCCCGCAAAGATAGGCGGGTATGGGTAAAGAATTTAGCCCATCAAATTCGGGCTGAGCCAGGCCCTCCCATATAAATGGGCTAATAATTTATATCAGATCCGGCCCAAATCCGGCCTGGATCCTTATTTGCAGATCTAGAAGATTTGTTGTGTGCTATATAGATAGATGATGAATACAGAATACTTGTGGATATAGTAGCTTAGACTCGGGGGCCGGCCGGGTATGTATATATGCATGTATGGTATTGTAGAAGGGGAATACAGATGACAAATTAATTTCCACTTTCCAGCACATCCATCACATGGGTGCTTGAGGGTGCTTCAAACGCAAGTCCCTAATTGAGATTAAATTTGGTCCTATTTGGGGTATACTTTTTAGTCAAACTTTCTCTGAATTGAATTTCGTTTGCATCGTTGCGATTAGACATTCGAATTCGATTCAACGATATAATTTTTATATTTATTTATAATACTTTTTTTAACACTATATTTATTTGGGTGTTTGACTTTGACAGAGTCAAAATTGATTTAATTGAACTTTATTCAGAATGGTTCTTACATTCCATTCATATTATTTATTCTCGTGAATTATTTCAATAAATCATTTCAAGTTCACATCACAAACAAATTCTTCATTTATTCTTGATTTGGGTATGTTCTCAGGCTCCCAATCAAGGTCACAGAATAAGTAAACGTATTGATTTATCTCTATGAGATTTATCGAGATGATGATATTGGATACCAATACATATTTTATTTTGACCCAAAGCCCAACAATAATTTATTTTAATCAAAACAAATTTGTTTAATTGAATAATTATTCATTAATAATTCTAGGGTATGTTTTGGGGCATTACAAATATTTAGTGTATGTCGTTTTTAAATATTCAGTTTATGTTGTTTTTAAATGTGTAGTGTATATTATTGTTTTTAAATATTCAATCTATGTTGTTGTTAAATATTTCGTGTATCTTTTTTAAATATAAAGTATATGTTGTTTTTGTGAAATATTTAGTATATGTTATTTTAAATATTCTGTGTATGTTAAATTTAAAAGTCATATTCTGTGTATCCGTAACATTTGCAGTAAAGTTTTGTGTCGCATTCACATGCTACTTATTAATGTCTTGCGGGAGAAATAATATATAGTGGTGGTGGACATTTACTTGGATAATGAAGTCCTACATTGGAAAAATAAAAACATATGGTCCTATATTGAAAAAAATATTATATTTTAGTCCTATTTAGATAAATTATCATTTAATCATATCCAAGAGAAATCCTTTTAATAAAGGAAAATGCTAGAGTCACAAACAAATAGTTCACAAACTTTACAAACTTGTCTTTTTGTGAATTTTAAATTAAAATATCTATTATCATTTGAGTGCATCTTATTTTTAAGAAAATACTAAAAAAGCAAGTTTATGAATTTTGTGAACTGTTTGTTTGTGACATACTCTAGCATTATATTACTCTATAATAAATTAACCACTCTTTGTGTTTAGGAAAAAAAGTGAGGCGATTAAAATTGTGTTAAATCTTGTCACTTTAATGTGAATAACTATGCAAAATTATATGGTTAATAAATATAACATTTTAAGTTTAAAAATTATACGTAGTACATGGATAAATTGAAAATTTTATATTTTAGTTAAAGATTTAAATTTTTCCCCAAGTGGGGATTGAAAAGGTGAATTTGGGCATTACATTTTCTAGTGGGGACATAATGATTTATTTGTTTAAAAAATTTGATAGTCATTAGGGATTTGTACGTAAGTTGCCGCATGCCCGCATTAATCCACACTAGACTCGTACCCGTGCGTTGCACGGTCTAATTATAAACTACTCCGGCCGTCCCTTAGGGAAAGCATTGATGAAAGAAAATGATAAAATTAAATTATAATTAAATTATAATAATAACATATAACCAAATATTAAAAAATTGTGAATACAATACATGTTCATCATGAAAGTTCACTTTCATCGAATCTCCTCCTCTTGTCCAAGCCGGAACAAAGTGAACACGAACAACTCGTAACATAAGTATCCAAGTGGTTCGACTATTGTCAATATCGGCAAGCACATTTCACATACTTTTTGAATGTATTGAGACATTTTTTGAAAGTGGGCCGAATTGGGATGAGAGGTATGAAATGTTTGGAGTCTAATTAGTATATTAATTGGACAATCAATCTACCCATTAAATGTCTTGGTTGAATGAATCTATTTATTTAATATGATTTGACATAAAGTATATATATATATAGAGCGACACACCAATTTTACTGCGCACGCGGTTCCATAGCAATACACTACTCATTTATTTATCTTGATTTGACATAAAGTTTGCATCGAGTCACGCACCAACTTTAAAACGCACGCGGTTCCATAATAATACACTACCCATTTATTTATTTTGATTTGACATAAAGTTTGCATCGAGCAACGCACCAACATTACTACGCACGCGGTTCCATATCAATACACTACCTATTTATTTATTTTGATTTGACACAAAGTTTGCATCGAGTCACGCACCAACTTTAAAACGCACGCGGTTCCATAACAATACACTACCCATTTATTTATTTTCATTTGACATAAAGTTTCCATCAAGTTACGCGCCAACATTACTATGCAAGCGGTTCCATATCAGTACACTACTCATATATTTATTTTAATTTAACATAAAAATTACATCGAGTCACGCACTAACTTTACTATGCACGCGATTCCATTGTAATACATTACTCATTTATTTATCTTGATTTGACAAAAATTTTGCATCGAGCCACGCACCAACATTACTATGCACGCAGTTCCATATCAATACACTACCCATTTATTTATTTTGATTCGACATAAAGTTTGCATCGAGCCACTCACCAACATTTTTACGCACGCAGTTCCATATCAATACACTACCCATTTATTTATTTTGATTTGACATAAAGTTTGTATCGAGTCACGCACCAACTTTATAAGGCACGCGGTTCCATATGAATACACTACCCATCAAGACCTTTAAACTCGGAGCAAACATTGCCTTTGAACTCTTTTGAGAAATGTGAGCCATACGAAATTTCAAATAGGGTTGTTTAACGAATTGGCTTAATATAATGCTCGAAGAAGTGTATTTATAATCCCTAGCGAATGAACTAATTACCTACACATTAAATTCTTATATTGTGCAAATCTATTTATTTAATTGATTTGACCTAAAGCCTGGCACTTTACTCCATAAAGTATCATTACTTTACTTTATGAAGCAACGCACCACATCATGGAGCAAAGCACCATCGATTGGACAACCTATATAAAGTTGATTTGACAACACTCAAAGATACCTGGGGAATAGTTGATTTGACAACCCATATATAGTTGATTTGACTTAAAGCTTGGCAAGATGCTCCATAAAGTATCATTACTTTACTTTACGGAGCCACGCACCATAGGAAGCAAGCCTATTCAATAGCCATAAAAAAAGATAGCCCAAATTCGGCCCAACAATGCTAGGCCCGAAACCGGCCCAAATGGAGGTGGTAAAATAGGCGGGAACACTGTTCACAATGTCATCTTAGCATTGTATATAGGAGGATGTGAATCCGCAACCCGTCATATAGTACTTTCTCCTTTCAAGTTGAATATTTCATTGTGTTAAAGCAGTGATTGATTTAAGTTTTAATTGAAATTATTTGATTGTAATTAGATTTAAAAACATAAAATTTATACATTTAAAAAACTAGATAAAAATTTTACATGTGATTAACTATAAAAAACATATTCTTTAAGGAATATTAGATAATAGGAAATAAATATTTTAATTAATTTCTTGTCTTATTCCTTTATTTTTTATTGTATTGTTACTACGGAGTATATTTTTACTCTACTTGGATTGAAATACATGTAATTGCTATAAATATGAAGTAATGTATCTTTCATTATTCATTAAGATCAATTTTTATTAAATTGTATCATGGTATTGAAATTAAATTCTCTAAAACTTAGACTCTTCTTTAAGACCGAGCACACCGCCAGTCTCTGTTCACGGCGGTCGATCAAGTGACAGTATGTCATCACCAACTGATCTCGATCGACGAGTGCACCTAACATGCTACCATCCATTATCTCTCTCTTTTTTTTAAAAAAATCAATTATCTCTCTCTCTTCTAAAAAAATCATGTGCATGATTGAAGAAATGGAAAAATTGCATTTGTCTCTATTTTTCTAGAGATCGTGAGCATGGAAAATAATAGCGAAGCAAATAACGGCCCACAAGGAGAAAAAAAGAAACTTCTCGCCCTCGTTCCAAGTGTCAACACTCTCACTAAGAAAAAACTCAGCAAACGTAATTTCAAGCTCGTTCGTCATGCAACGAAGATCTGAGTCTCTACTTCTAGAGGTTATCCTCACAAAACTACTTCAGATGATCCATGCCAGTTCAATTCTAGTACATGTGCTCCATGCTACTCCTCGTTACTGATGATCAACGTGCAGGGAATATTAAGAATATTAGGTAATAAGAAATAAATATTATAATTAATTTCTTTCCTTTTTCCTTTATTTCCTTATCAAATTCTTACTACTTTTTTCCTACTTGGATTGGAACTCTTTCATGTAATCACTATGAATAGGAATGTATCTTTCATTATTCATTAAGACCAATTATTATAAAATTGTACTCCCTCCGTCCTACAGAACCCTCCCCTTTCATT